GTAATTAATTTGGCTATTTTAAAGACCTACTATCTTTATCGGCAATTCCTGCCTCAAAATGTCTTGGCCATTAGGAGTGATTGTATTTATGTGAAAGGGGAATTGCCCGCAAAGATCTTAAAACAGGCAGATAAATATCATATTACTAAGTATCAACAAGTAACCTTTTTTGGGGAAGAAAATATTTTTATTCATGATACTCAGGAATTAAAAGCCCGTCTTGTTAATGATCCATCTGCTCGGGAAAAACTAATTCGGAGTTTTCAAAATTAGTCGGTCACTAACTGCCAACTTTCACCTCTAATCACAAATGCTCTTGTCCAAACTCCTAAAATATATTATTATATAAATATAATAAATGATATGCCAAAAGTAAATAATAATAATTTAATAACAGTAATAACCCAAAATAAAGAAGTAAAAACCATCCTCCAAGAATTAGACCAAGAACTAAAAAATTCTTGCCAAAAAGTCGGTTGTCCACCTACTTGTCGCCAAATACCTACTTTACCCCAACAAGTTTTAACTCAGTTAAAAATTATGGAAAATCAAGCTGACTGACAAGATGAAATAAACGATCCTGATTTTAGGTGAGCCGAGTATAAACAAGAATTACAGAGTGAATTAATTGAGTTAGGAGAAAAATATCCCCAATATTTAACTCCCCTTCAAAATCTAGGACGGGATTTAGAGAAAATTAAACATGGATAATTTATCTGAAAGGTTAAAATAAAGTAAAGATTATGAACAAAGAATTCTTAAACTAACTCAAGAATTACAAATTATCCAAACTGCTAAAGAACAAGTGGATCGACTAAGCAATTAGTGATGAAAATTAGATGCCCGAGCAGTAGCCATCAAGCATGTTCCATTAACCTTACCTCTATTTGTCAATTCTGCCAGCAAGATGGAGTGGGGACAAAACTTAGCGATGGCTCTTATATTTGTCGACCTTGTTTAAGGGTTAAGTATTATGATTGATGGGTTATTGTTGCTGACCAAGAAATTAGATTAATATGCCCTCCTCAAAGAACCCTCACAAGTTAATCGCCCTGTTAAATATGCCGTGGCTAAAAAAACTTATTCTCATAAAAATGATTCGGGTTATTGAACTGAGAATCCAGTTTATAAGGGCAATATAGGTGTAATGTTTGTTAAAATTGTATAAGAAAGATAAGTGGCAATTTCGTCAAGCGATTACTAATCCTAAATTAAAACAATTATTTAGGAAGTATGTGTATGAGGGGAGTATTGGTTAGGAGGCCAGAAATTTTTCCATTTCTTGAAAAGTCAAATCACACCCTAAATAATCTCTCCCTAACTCCCTACAAACTTCCAACACAATAAAACTCCCTGCACATGGATCAACAATTAAATCTCCTGCTATCGTGGTAGCTTCTACCAGAGCTTTTATTAGTCCTTTTGGTTTCTGATGAGGATGCTTTTTTTGGCTAACGGCTAATTGATTCTCCTCTCACACTGTCCCAAAACTCCTATTAGTAAATCTTTTACCCGTAGTAGGATATTTTTGTAGTAAAAAGCAAAACTCGGCATTAGATCGTAATCAGGTTCCTAATCCTAAGGTATTTTTTTTATATCAGACCAAACAGTCTACTATTTTAAGTGAGGAGGATTTTATTAATCAGGCTGCAATGCGGTCACTACCCAGTAGGCCTTTATTTATTCACAATAAGCAAAAAGAGGAGGGTTTTAATATTCTTCCTACCTGCTCAATTATTCTCATTATTTGGTAATCACTTTGGGGATATAAAGGATAAGCCAATTTCAATACATTAGCCACTTTTTCGTATTGGGGATCTAAAAAAACAAGATCGACACTATTATCTTCTAGACTAGATAATAATTCCAATGCTTCCCCTGCTTGTTTAGCGTTTAGTAAGTACTTGTTTTTTTTTGTAAACCACTTTTTTATTTCTTTAAGCATACTAAATTTCCCTAATCAACCCATTAATCAAGTCAATTACCTGATTTATATCAATATTGCCTCGATTATTGTTTAAGTAACTGGTAATTCTATCTAAATGTTGACTAATCTTACTTTGTAGACTATTATACTTACGAACCGACTGATTATATTCTTCCACCGAAACCCCGCCACTACTGGAAGAACTAGTGCTACTACTAATTTTACTAGCCAATTGTTCGCTAACCCCGGTCAATTTTTTAATCTGGGACTGCAAACTACTGATGCCGCTACTTAAATCACGGGCAATATTTTGATTATTTAAATTCATTTGGTTAGTTAGTCGTTCAATAATCATATTGGTCTCATTCTTAATATTTTCAACATTTTGCTCGGCTTGCTTCAATTCGGCTTTTAGAACTGTTAAATCTCCCCGCAACTGACTTATCTCTTGAAAATTAGCCGCTAATTCTCCCCTTATTTCACTTAACCTATTTTCTAGGGCATTTTTGAAAGCAATTAAATTATTACATAAGTTGCTTATTAAAGCTCTCTGCAACTCCTCCATCCGATAAGCATGACCATAATCGTATCTCTGAATTTTCTTGGCGTTATTAAGATAATCTAGTTGTCTCTTATTATTATACTGATGAAAAGTAAAGAGGTAATGCAATAGTCAATTACAAATTTCCTGGTCTCGCTCATTTTTCCTTGTACCTAATTCTTGTTCCTTAGTTTTTCGTTCTTTTTCGTTTAGTCTTTGCCAAGAATTAACTATAGTCGGTAAATTCTTAGCCAATTCCGTCTTGGCTACATCAAAACCAATCTTAGTACATACTTTATATAATTCCTCAGGTTCGGGATTATTATCTCATTGTCACCCTTCATGATTAGGGGTGGCAATTCCCCAAATGGCTAAATATCTTTTTAATAATTGAGGATTCCAATTAAAATTTAATTTTTTACCTAACCTACCGCGACGAAATAAAGCGGGGTCAATTATCTCATGATTGTTAGTCGCAATAATAATGCAACTATTTTTATCTTGGGCTTCCCCTTTTAATTCTTCGCTGTCCCGGGGGGTTGATAAGAAATTTTTTCAGTCTTCTAACAGGTTATTTGGCTTACCGGCCATACCCGAGGTCATAACGTTAAGTCCTTGGTCAGCTTCTTCCACGAAAACAATATAAGGTTTTTTGCTATAAGGATCGCCATAATATTCCTCTTTAGCCTTTTTAATAATAGCCACTAATTTTTGATAAGAATCAGGCTGACCGCCACCAGGCATAGCTTTTCCGCCAGTCGCTAAGGTCGAACCATCAATCTGAATAATACAAGGTGGCTTCCTTTCAATTTCTTGTAATAATTCATAATTAGGATTATTAGGATCTAATTCATTTTCAATTCAAGTGGGATATTTTTCCTGGATAATACGAGCTAATTGCTTAATAAATTCCGTTTTTCCGGTACCAGGAGCCCCATACATAACCATATTGCGTCTTTTGAAGTGAAGATGATTGCCATCTTGTTTTTCGTCTAGTTCTGGGTTAACTTCGCCAAATCTGACTAGATCTTCGATGTCTTGTAGAATATCTTTAAAAAAATTAGTGATTTCTGGAGAGAAAAGTAACTTTCCGGGAAAAGAGTTCGGTTCATCTACTCCTTCGACTTCCATGCAATCATTAACCTCGGGACGGCTCTGTATATTATAATGACTACTGTCGGCCTCCCAGCCGCGAGTGGCTTTAATCTGTGCCTCCTTATGCTCCTTATCCAACCTATCTTTTTCCTCCTGCTTCCTCTTCCTCTCCTCTAAACTTCCACTATGCTCAATTTCTAATCTAGTCTGATTAATTTCACTATTTTTTCACAAAAAAAAGGCCTGGATTCCTAAGATAATTAAAAAACTTATTACTGCTAAGGCAATTAACCAACCAATTATTTTTTTAAAAAAACCTAACATAATATTAATCGTTAAACTTTTTTCTAACTAATCTCCAAATTAAAAATAATCCTAGTAATCCCCCACTAATTACCAAAGCATTTTTGCCGGTCTCATGGGGGATAAAACCTAAATATTTCTTTGATTGCGAACCTTCGTTATTTTTACCCTTATCCCCTTCCTTCTTCCAACTAAAAAAACTAGCATTCCCTTGAAAAATATTCTTCACAATATTAGCCAACTCATCGCTTTTCTCCTGAGTAAAAATAGCAAAGGTAGGGTCAGTTTTCAATTCTTCTCTTAGTCTTTTGATTTCTTGATTTTTTTGACTAAGAAGAGCAAATAATTTAGCTTTTTTTATCGGGTTTTTTTCATTTTTCCAATCTTCAGTTAGTTGGGTGGCCTCTGTGTTTAGTTTATCTAATTGTTTTAATTTCCCTTGAAATTTATGTAATTGTTCTCAGGTAGTCTGAGAAATCATGTTCATATAGTGGTTTAGTTCTCGGCTAAGTCTTTTAAAAGCATCTTTGATACGAGTGGAGAATTGGGATTGGGAACCATCAAGGCCGATGCAGGAGCCGTAGAAAAATCCAGCTCCACTTTCATCCTCACACTTTTCTTTTAGGGATTTGAAAGAGTTGAGGAGGGATTTTTTACTTTGGTTAAATTCTGATTCATTCTTACTCTTACTTAATTTCACTTGCTGCTTCACCAACACATCAAAAGCCCTAAAGTTCTTATTAATCTGTCGTAAATCATTACTCATTTTATGCTGTCCTCCATAATTACACTCGCCTCCGACAAAATAATTGCCTTTACATCAGTTACAATGGGGATGACCTTCTTTGGCTAGACCATTTTCTACTTCTTTACCTTGGCAACGGGGGTTAGTGACTATGGAGCAGAAGTCTTGGGGGGTTATTTCGTAAGTCATGATTATTCACTACTAAAGAATTTTCCGTAGGCTCATTTGCAGGCTCGGTAAAGCAAGTATAAGAAAATTAAACTAGCCAGCAAAATTATTCAAACCTGCCATGAAGAGCAATTCAAATCTTTATATCAGGGGTTATCTATTTCCTGAGTTAATTCCTTAGCCATTTTTTCCCTTTCAACTTGCTTTTTCTTTAACTCGGCAATTAATTCATTTTGAGTATTAATAGTTTGCTGATGTTGACGGGCCTCGGCAAATAGTTGAGACGCTTTAATTTTATCACCTTGCTGTTCGGCTTGCTTGGCCTCTTCCAAAGTTTTTAACATTTTCTTTTCTTGCTTATTTCTATCTTCTTGTAATATCTTATTAATCGCCTCTTGTTCCTGATGGGTTTTAGTAATAATCTCATCCATTATCCTTTTTCTTTCTTCCGGAGAAGCCTGGCGAGCTTTGTCCAATAAGTCTTTTAATTCTTCGGGACTTAATTTTTGCGTATCTTTAATGCGGTCTATAGGCTGGAGTTGTCCAGTTTTCTTTTCCAAATCTTCCAATCGTTTAATTATTTTCTCTTGGCTGTCGCTGAGTAAATGATTGAGTTTATTTTGTGATTTGCTGACAGTATTAGTATCCCTCTCACCATCTGAACCCCTAACATAATTAACTGCGGCATCGCCATCAAACCCACTACACACATAGACTACCGGAGCGGTGGCTGCTCTTAAACCTTTTTTTACACTACTTCAAAATTCCATATTATTCAATTCCTTGGGTTAATTTTTTAAATAAACTAAAAATAAATTTCACTATTAATATTGCCACAATTACTGCTACTGCAATAATTCCCCAGTTTAATCAGGAGTTCAGGTCAGGACTATTATTTTTAGATTTGATTTGTTCTTCCGTTAAATGCTCGCCCCCTTTACTTAATTCATCGTATAATTTAGCAATGTCCGTTTCATTTTTTTTAATAATACTTTCATTCTTATCTAGTTGCTTTTTAGCCTCACTCAGTTCTTTTTGAGTGGCTTCCATAGTGGCTAACTTTTTAGCCTTTTCGGTGGGATCGCTTTCATTTTTTCATTCCTCAGTTTCTTGTAATAATCTCTTTTCTAATTTCTTGATGTCTTCTTTTAATTTTTCATTTTCTTCTTTTAGTTCCTTAGTTTTTTCTTCGGTTTTATCTTTTATATAGTCCAACTTTTCTTGCTTACTTTTACGGGAGTATTCATAAATGTCACGAGGGGAGATGCCGGCTTCGGCAGCTCGGTTGTTGGGAGTGGAGCCTCATTTTTCGATGATGGGCTTGGCTAAGAAGTAAGTGACTAGGGGTCAGGCGACTACTTTGATGATGGGTAATAGTGCTACTAAAAATGCCATATTTACTCTTCAAATCCAATACTTCTAAACACACTCCTAAACACCCCCACACATATCTTATATATCAGATATAAAGCTACTAAGAAGCCTCCTAATCAGAGGCCGTTGTTTCAAGAGAGTTTGTTAGGCAACTGTGCCTTCCAACCACCTTTATCAACTACTTTTAAATCTTGTAAGTTAGTCTCTATCTCTTGTAATTCTTTCATCTTCTCTTCTTTACTTTCTAATTTTTCTTTAGCCTTCTCATTTTTATCTGAATCACTACCGGAGAGGATTTCCTTTCGCTCCTTATCTAACTCTTTAATTTCATCTTTTAATTCCTTTTGTTTAGTTTCACCTTCTTTTATCGCAGCTTTTATTTCTTCTTTTTCTAGGCCTTGGATATTAGGATTATTAGAGGGACAATCTAACTTTCCTGCTATGAATTTTATGAAAATATAATAGCCAGCTACTGCTACTACTAGTAATGGGATGAGGTTGAGGATCATATTATTTGATATTAATATTTGGCTCGGTTTGAGCACTTTTTCTTGGGTTTCGCATATATTTATTATTTTATATATATTATTTCTATCGTCTTTCTATCTGATAAAAATATATTATATAATTTAAATGAATTGACAACAATACAAAACCTATCTAAACACAAAAATCCTCCAAGAGGAAGAGGACACTTATCTTCTACTTCCCGAGGCAAAAAAGCAATATTCTCCTACTAAAGAAGCAGAACTAATCCAAGCCCTCACCAACCTCATCACCAGCATAGACAACTCCCCTTACCACTCCTCTAACTCTTACTCCTCCCTCAGCGAACAAGATGAAGAATATCACTCTCTCCCGGAATTAGACAACCTCTACTCAGAGTCAGGACTAATCACCTGACAACAACTCTTCCCTAACCGCTCAGAAACTCATTTTGGCAAGAAAGAAGAAATAGAAGCAGAAATCTCCTCCGCTACCTGAACCATTCTAACCAAAATATTTAACGACTGAACCCATTCTATTACCCGAGCCAAAAAACTCCGCGACTTCTTACAGGACCAACAAAATTTACTCAAATTCATCTCCGAAGCCCTAATTAACCTCAACTATGACCTAATAAAAAGCAAAAAATATGACTTAGTAGTCCAAAACTGACTAAAAGAATATGAATTGTTAAGTAAAGAAGAACAAGAACAATTAAAAGAACCCTATCAGATTATGACCCAACTTTTAACTAGTTGAGAGGAAGTTAAAAAGTTGAAGGGGGAGAGTTCTTGGTATCAGAAAGTGTCTTGGAAACAAGTATTATGGTATGGAGGAGGCGGCTTACTAATCCTCCTAGTCCTAGGCTACTTATGAAAAAAATTCAATGACTAAATTATTCTGCCCTCACTCCTCTTCCCCTTGTGAATATTGCCATTACTCCTATCTCCATAATATAGAAACTTACCTGCTAACCACTAAAAAATGCCCTAAACATAAGACTAATCTCATCCATTATTATGGAGATACAGTTATCTATTGCCCAAAAGGTAAAGAAATCTTTAGAAAGGAATTTTATGCCTAACCTCCAAGAATTTTATCAGTGATTACAATCTAATCCCACCCCAGGTTTAGACTGACAACAATTTTCCGGAGATACTGAAAGAGATATATCCCCAGGCATTATAATTAATAATGGTGATTATTTATTAACCGCCAATGGTAATGATTGAGAATTAATTAAATTGGGTATACCGGAAGGTAAAGGGGACACTGATGAAGATTCTGTTATTGAAGTTATAAAGCAGTATCAGAGAGAGAGAGAGAGAGAGAGAGAGAGACAAAGTTCTAAAAGAACGAGTATTGTCGGAGACCAGAGAGAAATAACCACCATGAAAGACCTACAAGAATTTAAAAACTGACTAAACCAAGACCCTTCTCGGAAACAAAACTTACCTAGTTGGGAGAAATTTTTTACTTGTTTTCTTTCTGACTCATACGGCTATTATTATTGAGCCATTGATGTCATCAAACTTTTAGATTTAATTGAAGAATGAAAGGAAGAAGATGGAGACTTTGAGAAATATTTAGATATTTGTTCTAGTGGAGATTTTGGTGATGCTCCACCATTTTGAGGGGGATACCGTGGTGAAGATAAGCAGCTTAGTGGTCTTATTTTTGCTCGAAAACAGGAATTAGAACAAATTAAAAAACAAAAACAAGAATTAGAATCCCAACTAACCCAACTAAAACAAGACTTAACCAATAAAGAACAAGAATTAGGTGCCTATTTTTTTTGAACTCATACCTACAAATATATTGCAGAACTTGCTGAGGGAGCCTTTGTGGAAGATATAACTGCCATAGAAGAAAGGGCAACCGAACTAAAACAGGATATTGCTGAACGAACCCAAGACTCCTTTAGCCAAGGGGAAATTACCCAGGCTTATGAAAAGATAGATGGGATTGTAGATTTGGCTAAGCAAAAAAGGGAGGTGGAGAGACAATTGAGGGAAAAAGAGGAGGAGTTAACAAGATTGAGAGAAGAATTAACGGTTAAAGTTCAGGCAGAGGAAGGATTGATTAAGGAGTTGGAGCAATTGAAGGAGGAGAAAGGGGGGTTGGAGGGTAAATTGGGGGAGTTAGAGACTAGTTTGACAGAAACTAGACAGGAGTTGGATAGGTGGAAAAAAGAGTTAGGGGATAAAGAACAGGAATTAAATTCTTTAAAAGAAAAATTAACTACTGAACAAACTAAGTCAGGGGAATTAGAAGGGCAATTGGCGGGTTTGGTTGTTAGTAGTGGTTTACTTAGTCAACAAGTTGAACAACTAAATAACCAACTAAGTGAGAAGAAGCAGGAAGTAGAGCAAAAGAGATTAGAAAGTGAGATAAAAAGTAATTTAGTGAGGGAACAAAGCGAAAAGATAAGAGAGCAAGAAGGGCAAATAAATAATTATCAGCAATTATTAAGAACTGCTGAAAATAATCTTAAAAAAGGGTCCGAATTGCTAAATAAAAAAGAAAGGCAATTAGAGCAATTGGAAAAAGAAAAGAATTTGATTGGAGAAGAGTTAGAGTTGGCTAGTAGTAGGATAAGGGAGTTAGAGGGGGCTTTATTGGCTGCTAATAGTAAGATTGGGGGATTAGAAGCAAGAATTAGGGAACTGGAAAGCAATAATGATAATTCAGAAGAATTGGAAAGATTAAAAAAAGAACTTACGACCGAGAAGCAAAAATATCAGCAAGAAAGGACTAAATCCCAAAGCGAAATAAAAAGATTACAAAGTGAATTAGCCACCACTAAAAAAAGGGAGGAGGAGTTGATGGAGAGAATAAAAGAATTGAGTAAAAAATCTGGGGGCAGAAAAGAAATTGTCGCAGAAAAAAGTTTTTGAGAGACTATTAAAACCCCTGTTTTTTATGGGGCAGGTGTGGTTTTGGTAATT